AATTATAAACATATAAAATATATGAAAAATTGATGTGGGTACTCAAATGAAAGGTCTCGATGAGTGTAATATCGGGATGAGCTTATATCTTTAAAAATGTCAATAGTTCACAAGATACAAGGTCATTTCTTAATTATGTATCTAAAGATAGACCATTTTCAATTAAGAAAAAAATTCTTGAATCAAGAAAATAATTTTAAAGCGTTTTATTGTCTCGAATTAAGACGAAAAATTCTTGAATCAAGTGAAATTTACTTCAACCAAGAAAAATTTCTTTGTTTCAGAATTTTTCTACTTGAATAAAGAATATTAAATTCTTCAAAATTATTTACTTGATTCAAGTATAATTTTTTTTTCTCTATACTAATTATCGAAAATAATAAATATACTGTGAATTACAACAGCTGAACGTGTAATTCTCAAACTCCAAGCTTAGTTATCGAAGTCTAAAAAATTTATACGAAAAATTACAGTGTGAAATATTAAATTTGAAAAAGAAATTTAAAAGTTTAAACTTTTTACTATTATAAACTAAAAAAGATTTTAAGTGAAACTTTTAATAGTTGGTATATGTCTCCGAAATAATTCAATTTTTAGTTTCACACTAGAAGGACGGCTTATATTTAAAACTCTAATAAATCCTAGTAATAAATTTAATTTTTGTTTTAAAATACGATATAAAACACACATAATTTAATTGAAGAAAGTATAGAACAGAGCTTTAACCTTGGACAAGTACAAAAGAATTCTCGTTAAAGGACGGTAAAAGGTACAGGAAGTTAATTGCTGACAAAAATTAATTGGTCTTTTATATGAGAGGTCAGATCGATTTGTTTTCATTCAATCAAGTATGAGAAAAAATTCTACCACCTGTGACGCTGAGATCAGAATCGCAAATCGAGATCTGTTCTATCAAATCTTAGATTTTTTTTATCAGAAATGAAATATTGAGACCATTTTGAGCCGCTATGGGCAAAAATAAACAAACTGAGATCATTTTATTTCAAGTAAGTTGAATAAGTAAATTTCTGAAAAAAGGAATCAATTGATCACAACTGAGAAGTTGATTAAGTAAACTGAAGCATGCTGTGTAGACAATACAACGAATTAGAGTATCAATAAATTAGGTTAAGTGTATATCATGAGCGCCAGGAAGTTTTTGTTGTCGAATAAATACTGTGGAAAACATTTGGTTACACGGAAGAACATATAGTTGGATATGTATGTGGTCACCGAGCCGCAAAATTGAGTCGTCACGCCCAGTGACAATATGCCACGCGTGATTACGACCCGTGACCCGTAATAAGCTATTGCATGTAATATATAAGCAAGATGTTGTGTCTGTCTTTAATAGGACAATCCACGGTTTTGATTTTATGTCCAGTCTTTAAATCAATTGATCCATCAAATTGCTTTGATTGTAAATTTTTTTTTAATAAAAGCGCATTACAAATCAAATGCTTACGCGGATATTTTATTTTTGCAAGTAAAATTTATTTTGTTTCGTTTGCTAAATTTTTTTTTTATTAGTCATGCCAATAATTAATTTAATTAAAAATGCAAGAATAATTTTATTGTTTATTATTTACAATAAAAAATTTACCTCGGCAAGTGGTACATACTCAACATAATTAAATTTATCATTTTTAGACGAATTATCGCAGCAACAACTTTTACATAATGAAGAAAAAAAAGGCATAATATACACAATTAAAAAAATTAAATAGTAAAAAAATATTTATCATATAATGCAATAGATCTGCATATAAATAAATTGCGTCGTATAATAATGTTTATTCAATTACCAAGTTACTAGTACTGACGTGTCCTCAATGTTTTTCATCAGCTTTTTCTCTTAGTTATTTTTCTTTCTCTTTCTATACTCACTTGCCAATATTATTTATAGCCACCTAACATTGATATTGTTCGAGTAAATATATTATTTAATTAAATATCTTTCTACTAGTAAATTAAATAGAAATTTTTCTTCTATTCCACAAGATTGTAATTAAAAATTACGCTCATTATTGTCGCGAAATTAAATGGCTGGCAAATAATAAAAAGTCCCACGATCGAAACCACCTTTGGGTTTTTTTTTTTATTCATATAAAATTATAATTAGAAAAATTGTTACTTACAAATTGCATAGAAATATTTCTTCATGCTTAATAATTTTTCTAAATAGAAAATAAAATGAATTAAATTATAAATACTTAAAAGGCTTGACGTTTAATAGGTCAGTGCTTTAAGAAATCCTAAAAGCTCTACTAAATGTGCTTTTAGCCAACAGGAAAAATAAATAAAAACACTGAGCCACATTTATATTCAAAGTTGAAAGCTTTCTTGTATTAAAAATTATATTTTCGAGTGAGTAAAATCAAAAAAAGCTGTCGGGGCTCTAAAAGTCGAGTGGATCAAATCAAGAAAAATTGAGGGCTTTTTCGAAATATCTAACTATTGGCGGATGATGTGCTGTTAAGATAATGTTATATTATGTCGGAGAAGAGAAAAGAATGTCAAGTATGGTGTAATACTGAGGGGAAACCAGGGCCATGTAACCAGACACCAATTCTCTTTTGCGTAACGCAAACTGCTATCGTTAACTATCGACTTCCTTACTCGATATTCTATGTCAAGTGCTGTCTACTATATTTGCTATACTCTATCATAATATAAACTACTTCCTATTATATTATACTATATCATATTTTCGCTGGTAATTATGTAACGATAATAATAATTATAAATTATACTTTAGAGGAAGGATGAAAGTTCTTGTAGATTCTATAATTAAAATTTTAACGTCAAAAATATTTCCCAAAAGTTTTAAAAATGCACAGTACAAAATTTCGGATCAAAAAAATTTGCGTTTAATGTTTAACTAAATTTTTTTTGACGCAAAATTTTCTACTGTGTAATAACTAATAACTTATGAAACTGTAATTAAAAAAATTTTTTAAGAAATAATTATCTACATTAGAAATTTTGTGTCCGGGATAGTCATATGATAAAATCGGTTTTTTTAATGAATTTATTGTGATTAGTTCATAATCTGCACTCGAAAATGCTCTATTTCTAGATACATAATTAAGAAATGTGGGTACTTAAATGAAAGCTCTTGATGAGTGTAACATCGGGATGAGCTTATATCTTCACAAACGTCAATATTTAAGAAAGTACAGTGCAATTAAACAAAATTCATTATTTAATAAAGCAAAATTTTATTTACTTATGGTTCACAAGTCATATAATAACTGCAAGGTTGCTAGTAGCAGGAATAATTTATTTAAAAAATTACAAATTCAATTTTTAAAATAATTTTTTAGACCTAATTTATTTTTATTAATTTCAGTATCATAATAACTTGCACTTAAAAATAAATTAATTTATAAACAGTTAAAAAATTCATACAAACCCATCGATTTTTTAATAAAACTTCTAAAATCCAAGAATAGAATTTTCAATGTCTAGAATTTAATTTTACGTAAAAGAAATTCATGAGTCAGAACTCAAGGGTCAATGCTGAAATACCAATAAATTTAACGAGTTGAGTCAAAAAAGTGTGTGATAATAAAGACGTGGATAATGAAAAAATAAGTACTACAGCGCGAGACATCATACATGAGTCACTGGCTCATTGACATTGGCAGCGACATGACCACGTGCCATCTAATAATGGTGTGCGTAGTTAAGTACCATGTACTATACGGGTTGAAAGAACACACATCACGCAATTCCCTTTACATTTAACACTTTGTCAAAGACACACCACACGAGTGCT